ACAAGCTGACAGACAGTGGCCAGGTCGTTGGCTCTGTGGATGGCTAATTGAGACAGGTCGGGAAATGGTGACCCTCATTCCTGTTGACCCCTAACTTGAGCTTTTGTTTCGGCATCGCTCAAAGTCTACTTCGGACTTTCAAATAGAGGGGCATCAGTGGTGTAAATTAAACGCTGTCGTTCGCCCTCCTTTTGAAGAATGCCTGACTGAGGCCTTGAATCTCTTAAAAAGAGTGACCGTTGAGTTTCCTGGTAGAAAATTAAGTGTTTTCTATCACTATATCGTCTTTTACCAATTTTCATGCATGCTTTATTGCCTAACTGCAGGTTCAAGCGTGGCAGAGGGTTAATTGCGCCTCAGAAGTAAACAGATCGATTTCTTTATTGGACATCTATTTTATTGTCTTCTTACGTCAGTGGATGCACAAATATAGAATTCTTCCCAGAAACGAACTTGATAAGCCACAAACAGAGCAGTCGGCGCGAATTCCAGGTTGTTTGCGGTTGTATCCATTCTCGCAGTAAACGCCCTCTGGTTGCGTGATACCGCTACTTCTCAAAATTTGCGCGATTACAATGCTTGCTAAGGGTTCCCATTCATGGTTCATTGCTTTTCTGCGGTGGCATGACGCAACTGCAAGGACACTAGCTTACATGGGAGTTCTTTAGCGTTCCAAATAAAGTCATGAATGATTCTAGCAGGCCGTGTTCCAACTGGTATTCGGAATGACAGTGCAAAAACTTTTTGATTGGATTCCAAACTGCCATCCATGCTTATTTTTGGATATGGATATTGATTCCTAGAAACCGCTGTTCTAATTAAGGTCGGCGATTTTTATGTTCACGCATCAGCCATAATTTGTCCACTGCAGATGTTTTAATCGTCTTTCAAATTTTGGTTATTCTACAAAACAAGCTCCGAAAATGATGTGCGAACTTAGCCTACCCGGATAGGGCCGCATAATATTATGAAGGCATACTTATTGACACTATACAGTCTGCGTATGATGGTGAGCACTCTTTTCCATCCCTAAATTGTTAGAAGATGCCGAAGCCAACCGCGTTTGCTACATTGAGGACGTATGAGGGGCCGCTGTTAGGAGTGGCATTCCTCCTGCATACTGGAGCACTTGACACGGCTGCGTATAAACGGTTGTATTTCTTAGGCCACCTCTCAAGTCTGCCATTTGTCCGTGTCATTTCTGGTCTTCACGCACTTCGTGACTCGAGTTGGACATCACAACTTGTATCTTTTTCGGACCCATGCATAATGTAACTATGCTGACCCTCTTTGTATGTGTATTTGCGCATTTCTGCTTAGGACCATAAGTTAGGCGTCTCAGCACTTGTGTACACTTAGGACGTTTCGTGGTGTGCACCTCGACTGCATATGTGTTCTACGCCCAGGGCTGTCTGTCCGCGCGTGTTCTACATTGTCCTTACGCATATTCGCACACGCATTCACGATGAGTTTGGTTGCAGGCCAGGCCGCTATGCTTCGTTTGTCGGAGTGCGAATTTTAGTCATGGTTTACGCCCAATATGCACAGCCCCGGATGTAAGACACCAGAGGCAGGGGGGGGGAGGGGAAGGACATGTGTTCCAGCAGGCTTAGCGTGGGTTTTGGTTGTGTGTGCAAGACAAGGGGGTTCTCTGTGTAAATACTTAAAGCTTACCTATTTCTGCCAGGTATTCGACTCGTTAATGTTTGCATTAGACATGTTTATTTCACATAGCTGTTCCCGCTTTAAGTTATGGCCACGCCAGCCTCTGATAGCTTGCGGTCGTCAGTGTGGCCACGCGTATTTGTTTTAGCTTTCATCTCAGCCATTCTAACGGTTATCTTATAAGGGGGATCCACTTCCGCGTTGGTTGACAACGCACTACTTTCAGTCGGTATATCTTCTGTCCGTTCATCGCGACAGTCATATTTCTGGTCTTATGCATGTTTTATCGTTCACGTACCTCTGCGATAGTTCCACTTTCGCGGCCTTATTATATGCTTCGTCCGAGTTTTTCCTCACCATGATCCCTATTATTCCGTACGTTCCGAGGGGGCGATACCTTACCCTTTCTATTTCGTCTTACAAATGGCTCTTGACTAGAATTTTAAGGATGGACGCCTGCACGGACTTAATGTTTGTAGGTCCCCCGACTGGATGTCTGACAATTCGCCCGGGTTGTTGGTGGCTTCTGGCCATGACTGTCTTCGAGTCCCTTTTGTCATTACTGCTTATCCATATCTTACCCATAAATTAAGCGACGCTTCATTAATCACACCCCCACTTAATGCTGCTTCGTTTGAAAGACGTCACGCGGCCGTCGTACTTAGGGGAGTGGTGGGGCTCGTTGAAAGCCCTCGGAATAGCTGTCGCGCCTTATTAGGTTTCGATGCTAGGAGCTTTGTCCGCACCATACGAGGGGAGGAGATAAAGCGTAGACAGCTAATTGTGGGACTAGGAGATGAATAGAAGTATCGACTTGTGTACGGCTATCCACTTATATGGAATATACTATGCTGTGGATCGATATTCCTATTTTATGGTGTCCTATTCGATATTTTTGTTGGCGTTGATTTCTTTGCGCATTCCCAACTCCAAAAAGCAGCTGGATTCATCGTTGACGGTAGCATGTGGACAGTAGCTAACTTCTGTTTATGGCGAATGCCTTGACCTAGTGCAGGCCAATCAGCCTGCAATGGATAAGCGTTAAAGACCATTGAAAATGAGATAAGGGTTGCCTTATCGACTGCTTACCATTTTCCGCCTGGAGTTATTGCAACATGTCTTACTGGTACAACATGTGTGCATCTGATCTCGATCGCCCCGCATATGTCGTATTAGAAAACCAGGTTTTGCCCATGGCGTGCGGCGGGTGTTGGACTCTTGAATTTGATGCTTTTATGTGTTAACCCACAGATCTTAGTCCGTCAAAGTAATCTTACTGTTCCTGCATTTTGGTTCTATGTGGCCATGATGAAGCAGTCATTATAGTCTTGTTCACGGCAGTTTGCTATGACACGTTGAGTACTCATACAGTTATTTGTCCTCAGTCGCCTGAACGGATATTGTCCACAGTCATGCGAAAAATTGCACGTGTCAACTGAAGAACGGATAATTTATTCTTTTTCTCGGCTCCAGGTCTTCCTGAACTTTGTCTGCCGAAGTCTGTAACTCACTTTTCTGCTTTGTTATTGTCATTTTTAGCACCATCTGTATTGTGATCTGCAGGCTCAGCGTATGGTTAATGCATTCCCGATCGACTTTTTGCCAGCTGCAGGATAATCTGGAATGTGTAACTGCTACGCAGAAATGAATGTCTGATCTCACTGTTTTTTTTTCATTTCTCCATAATTCGATAACTTCCGCATCCTGCTGTAAAGTCTTATTCATATACCCTGCACGAAGGGCGCACTCCTTCATTTTAAAATCTCCATAGACATCAGCAGTCTATTTCTGAACAGGTTTGGTTTTCGCCATGAATACGCAGTTTTTTTCAGTCCTAGTCTAGCACTGTTAATACCAACACCAGGTACTTCACACCCCATGTCCGTCGACTCCTCGCCCTCATTCGTTTACAGAATAATTAAGCAAATTAAGGAAATTCGTTTCCACACCCCAGGGACAAAGAAGATCGATTCCATGTGTAACCATTTTGTCAGAAATACCTGGTCCTACAGATGGTAAACCACCAATAGTAACAATTCAGTTCCTAATTTGATCCTTTATTCAAGCTCGAACTCAGACTTATCTGATAGTGCTCTCGAACCTACTGGTTTTCTTCTACGAACCTCTTCCCAGAAGTACATTTTTGCTTCCAGTTCCTAGTCTTTACGGATAATCGCAACTCTCGAGAGCAAGGGATCCTACTTGTAACAGTCCTTATTTTCTGTGGTACCCCGAAATGTATTGTATCTGCATGTACTGTCTACACGACGCCTACCCTCAGCATTAATTTCGCGAGGGCGAGAATGGCTACATATATACCAATGAAACTGAGTCTCTTGATGCGATTGAGTAATTTTGATAAAGCTGGTGGTCGGCGAGGCCGATCCACAGCACATTAATCAAACTCACATGGGACCGAGGTATTTCCACGATAGTTTTTAGCCTGTTACTGTGTGTTTACCTTTATCCGGTCGCTCTTAGGTAGTAGTGAGAAGTGCGTAGCGGCATTGCTTTCACGTGTAAGTCCGTACACAACTCAATATGCGGCAGCCTTCTGTGCGTTAATCATTCTTCGCTCCCTCGATTCCTTTAGCTCTCAAGCTGTGGTCACGTCGTTCCTGCCTTATGTCTGTGTCCCCCTGAGTCCGACTGAATTCCCTCCTTCGTAGGCCGAAGCCTATCACCGCTTCACGCTATTAACCCGTTTAGTAGGTTTCTCGTCTGCCCATTAATGACAGTCGTTTCATTCCAGTGGACTGTATGGGTCAGTGTCGTCAAGCGCTTGTCGCTTGCGTCTGTTGGCGCATCTTCCCCCCCCCCCATCCACTTCCTCTTCCTTAGCTTAGTCATATCAGCGTAGTCCCCCGCTAGATGTAAGCCTACTCACCACGTCTCCAGCATGTTTCAGGGTGGTGCGACAGACGCCCGATGAAGGGCTCATCGATGTGGAGGGAGGGGATAGTTGGGTAGAATGGAGACAAGGGCAGTAATTCTACTTGCCTCTGGGGCTAGTCGGTTCTGCAGGTTCGGGCACAAAGGGCCGGACACCTTGCACACCGTCCTGATGAACCTCTTAAATGTAAAATGCTTTTCATTCCATCCTAAGATTGCGCTAGATAGTGTAAGTGGCAGCTGCTTTAGGGAATTTGCAATTGGGATGCCTGAAGTATGTCTGCCTACTTCATTAAATTGGAGTAAGGTTGCCAATCTTATCTGATTGAAACGCACCAAACCGAAAAAAATTAGCGTCGACTTCCACAATGCCTTGTATAGAAACGGCCTAGCTACTTGATTAGTAGTCCAGCACTCCGCTCGTCCTCTGCAGCGATGGGAACATGCCTCTGATTGCTTCGAGTAAGTTTTTTTGACAGCTTTACTGGTAACTGCTTCTACGCAATACAGAGATGACATTATATGAAGAGGCTAACGATGTTGAATTCTTAGGCCCTCTAACTTTCCTAAGGGATACCAGTGTACGTTGAGTAGTCGTGAAGTATCACTGGGAAAAGTCCCCGAGAGTGGGACGACGGGTTAACGACGTTACTTAAGTCCGAAACACTCATTTCGATCTCAGTGGGTAGCGCACCTGAACTACCAACCGCACATTGGTGTGTGGCCGCCCATGACGGCTACAGATCTCATCTCTGACATTGTTAGTGCATATTGCAATGTTTTATGTGAACTGGGAGTTCTCTCTCTAGGGACGAAAAAAATAGTGCGGCATAGTACGTAGTCTGGAAAACTTACGGGTAGGTAAAAACGCAGACTTATTTTGAAAATATACAAGAAGTACTAAAGTTTTCAGCTCATCATTACTCCTTTAAGTGCCAGGCTTGAAAAGGTAATTCCACACGCAGCGGGTGTAAGAGATTTATTTCTGTATTTTGGGACATACGTCTAAGGTTTTGATGCTAAAAAGGATGGGGAAAATTTCAGTACTTGAATTATATATTTCCATTAACAAGCTTTTCATGGGGGATTGGAAGCTTTGTCAGCCAGCAGCCACCTTCCTACAATGTGCAAGTTACGTTTGCTAGTTACGTGCTAGTCAGTATTGCAGCCCCCCGCGATCTTTTGCATGCGGGCTCATTCGTATACTTCAGGCAATCCTCCATGCGTTCCAACTTATGGTCTTAATTCGTTCTTCTGTCTTCCCATGTTGCTGTCCTTGCATCTGCTGTCTCTTTACCTCGAAGCGCAAACCAGGTTACCTCTTCGGCTGTTGGCTGACCGGAATTCCTTTTGAATGTCAAACTTTGTGAGAGCTGACCGCATCCCTCATCCAGTCGCGCTGACACTCGCAGCAGCCTATAAGGCAGTTTAGTGGGGGTATACAATTAGGTTTTTGCGATAATGAAAAGGGCATCGGCCCTTCAAAGACCTGTCCTCTCTTTTTGATGGTCACGCTCGTTCTTCGTTTTGCTTCGTTTCGCGAGCTCCGTGATCGGCCAGTAAACCGTGTAAGGTTGTGGCCGTTTCACTAACTGAAAAAAAACAGCCTAAAGAGGTTTATTTATAAATAATTCAGAACAGATTACAGCACGGTAGGCACTACTTACGCCAGAGAGGTGTGACTGGCAGGACAGACTACGATATTTATTAGTGACTGATTCGCGCTGGTTGTGCGTCCAGACCGGGAGGGCCAGAATCCGCAACCGGACTTTGATAATTGGGTTTTAAGCCAATTACCCTGCCGTTAGCTACTGGCCAGCCGGTTGCCATCAGCAGTATTAAAGCACATTGATGGGACCTTGGAAGATTTAAATCATTATGATCCATCTTGTCTTGTCGGTAGTGTCTCTCAATCGTTTATTGCTCGTCGTTATTCGATCGCTTGTGACGGCTAAACGGGGCTTCCCATTATTTCTAAACTGCTTGTTGGAGGAGGCATTTCCGACTAATTGGGTTGCGCCTGCTGTTGCCTTTAAACGAGAGTAAACGAACAAACTCCGCCTCATCTGTAGCAAGTGTCAGACTGTGGTGTCTCATTGATGCGTCTTTACGAGGCCCTTCACGCATTTGAAATTCCGCTCGTGTGTGGCACGCCTTAGACAGTGGCTCTGCGCTACGTCAGGCTCTGCGACCAGTCTTATCTTGAGTCGGGTTCACACGGACAGACTAATGGCTCATAGGACTGGTCAGAGAAATTTGAGCTCATCCACCCCAACTGCAGTGTTTAGTTTCAGCATGATATATGTGTAACCATCTGTGCCCTGAACTATCACGACGCGCGTATAGTTGTGGCTTGTAAGGACTGCAAACCAGACTACAGTGTCCCGTCCCCGTGTGGCCATCACGACAGCCTTCTCGACTGAGAGACCCGGATCCATCTCATCCTCTGAAGACTAGCTCATATGGAGTTGGGACGAGAATGCATGTGGTGCGCACAACTGTGACTGAAGCCACTCCAGGCTCTTCTCTCATCTCCTTCTCCAGTCGTTTTGTTTTTGTATTGCTACTGGAACGCCATAAGCGTGGAAATGGTGGAGCGGGTGCGACCAAGGTCTGCTTTGTTATAAACAACTTCCTGCGCAAGTCTCCGATGTGTGGACCCCGTGGCTTACGGCGATTTAGATATCGAGTAAATATCTCCATGCGGGCAGGGCCTTGCAGTTAAAAAAAATCCAGATGGTCTTCGGTTAGATAATTCGACTGACCTACGGCGTAGAGCTCATCTGCGGACTGTCCGCGCACTGAGTGTGTGTGCATACCTGTTTTTTCCACTTATAGTGTTGGTCGGGCATAGCTGGCGGAATTGAGGCGTAACCAAATTAGGGAAAGTAGCTGTCCCAGTCCTTCCCTCGTCTTTGTTTGTCCAGCACGGTTATGCATATTCTTCCAGCTAATCTAATCCTTATTAAAATAACGGCAGATGGCCTCCGCTGACCCTTTCCTCAACCTACCATTGACAGACGTTGGAGAGCTTTTCGAACGCCGAATACCGTATTGCTTTCTTTTCCATGCGATTCGTTCTATTCGTGAAAGCTATTTAATTATACCAATTTGTGATATTTTTGGGAATTCGATCGTTTTTTTGCCACGGGGATCTTTAGGATCCTGTTTTCTTCTTTAGGTCAGTTTAGGACGCCACTTGGGATTTCGTCTGTGTTGCTAGAGTGGCGAGAAGTGCAATACGCCCCTATTTTACCTGGTTTCCCTCTTGGCAAAAATTCACTCACATTGAACCACGCCTAGGTCAAGAGCACTCCCTTTGTTTATGGTAACTGTGTTCTTTTCTTCTGTATGTAGAATCCGGACTTGGAGTACACAGCACGTAATATATGTTAACATACAATGGGCTAGGTAGAACAGAGATTACCCCGACCAAGGACCTAGTTCCGGAAAGTAATACATTTGACATCAGACACAAAGTCACCACTTGTCCTTACGAATATCTGCCCGGCTGGGAATCGGCCTCACTCCATGCATTGTAGCTCTTAGGTAATGTTAAAATTGACCGGACGGCTGACCTCAACTTCAGTTTATCTCTCGAACGTTGTTACGACTTTATTCACTGCGCGATGCCAAACATTTTCAAGGCGTGGTTTCAGGTTGCACAGATCGCTGATGTTTCCATGCATCCATGCGGCCTCGGTGCTCCCCACTGCTTCACCATCCTTTTTTTAGTGGCTTAGGGTAACACAACCTACTAATTAAGGCCCAGTTAAGCTGAAATTGTTGGTTTTTAACTACACTGACCTCTTTTCCCCTTTCTCTACCTCCCCCCCCTCTTTCTTTCCTTCTTTCTAGTTCCACCTCTACAAGAAAACTCCAAGTTCACGTCTACCGGTAGCATCTTTCTGGCCACTGGCCGATCAACCAGTTCTAGCAGCAACGGCAGTTCCCTACACAAAGGCGCCGGCGAGGCGCGCATCGACGACCCCTCTGCCCTGGACGACGCCAATGCCGTCACGCCCTATGCTAGTGCGTCCCTTATTGAGCAGTTGCGCTGTCAAGGCCACAGTAGTCAGCCGGGCCGACGGGACAATCCCGCCGAACGAGGTGGTGGTGGTGGTGGCGCCGGCCCCGGCGGAATCCTCTTGCCTTTCGGCGGGGTCATCCCCCCACCACCGCAGTACCCGCCACCCCCGGCGCCTGAATCGCCCCCACCTAGTACCATCAATTCGGACTCTGCTGCCGTGGCATACAAACCACCGCCACCGGCCGCAGCAGGAGGTGTCGGCATGGCGTTGTACCAGGGCGATGCCTGTCACTACGCCCAGAGTGACCTTCAGAGGGTGGGGGGCGAAGAGCCGCAGCCTCACCTGCGTCACTACCAGCAGCAGCAGCAGCAGTACATAATGCAACAGCAGGAACCACACTTTGTTGGTCTTCGGCATCTTCCGCAGACCTATGCAACCTCGCGCCCGGATGATGACCTGAAGGTCCCTGCTGCGGCGGCACGACCGCAGGGCGCCTATCTGCCCGTTTGCAATGGCCCCCTCTATCCAGCACAGGAGTACTGGCCAGGTGGAACGGCTGACCCAGCAGGCGGCTGTGTAATGCCCAACGTAACTACGTTACCCAACCGCGGTAAGTTCACCGCGTTCCTGCATATCATCAATTTCCAGCTGCCACAGTTAAGAAAGATACAGTAGGTGCGCTAACTCATGAAATGTCAACCGAAATTCTGAAATGCGTTTTCCTCTCGGAAAGATTCAGTAAGTAGAGTTATAAAACTAATCAGCTCGCAACGTACCGATATAACAATTCAGTTATCTCAGGATGCCGGCTTTCGAACCGACTCCTTTACGGCCGTATACAAAAAGCCACGCATTTCAAAAAGTGACCTCTTGAGTACTATGCATTCTTCTCATTGATTTTCAATGTCCCAAAAAATGCAACCATATTTCATGGAAAACATACATAAAAGTATTCATTCTTTTGCTCATTTGGTAGAACACTACGTCTTCCTCCAATTTTATGCTCGAAGGAATGGTATAATTCGGCTCTTAAAAACTTTTCCAATTCGCGAATAATTTTGAACCCGACCTGCCATTACACTCGCACTCAGGGTTTTCAAAATACCAACCGTGCATTTTCCGCGTACGGGAAACCACACATTTCTTTATTGTATAAAGAGGAGACCATATGGGGTTCATAAAATTCAGCAGTGGGTTTGAGCCACATTGGTAACTTTAAAAGCCACATTGGTTAATGCAGAGACATGACATTGTCTGAACGGTCATTTCACGGTCATAAAAAATCTCACAATTAGGAACTTTTTAAAACCGAATTATACCATTCCGTCGAGTATAAAATTGGAAGAAGACGTAGTGTTCTACCAAATGAGCAAAAGAATGAATACTTTTATGTATGTTTTCCATGAAATATGGTTGCATTTTTTGGGACATTGAAAATCAATAAGAAGAATGCATACTACTCAAGTAGTCATTTTTGCAATGCGTGGTTTTTTGTACACAGCCGTAAAGGAGTCCGTTCGAAAGCCGACATCGTGAGGTTACTGAATTGTTATAGCGGTGCGTTGCAAGCTGATTAGTTTTATAACCCTACTTAATTAATCTTTCCGAAAGGAAAACGCATTTCAGAATTTCGGTTGACATTTCATGAGTTAGCCCACACACTGTAACTGTCCATATTATAAGTGATAAGACGCTTGGCATGGCTGCCGGAAGCTTATTCCTTCACAACCACTGAAGCCGGATAAACTGTTGTCGGTTGCGTCCTCGACTCCCTAGGAAGCACGAAAGAGATTGAAGTAGCGTCAACGCCTTCATGTCCTGTGCAATCGATGGCCGCCACAACTTCTACCTGCTTTTCGTTTCGCCTCGATTTTTTCAACCTTACCAAGGACGGGCTGGTCAGACTGACCAAGAACTTATGCAGCACACATAGGTTTCGACAATAAGTCTGAAGCAACATCATCGAGGTTCAATCGCTCGCTCACTACTGCACTCCGACGCTGGGATGCATTGTTTGCATAGACCAAAGTAAAGCTATTGTGGATATAAAGTCATGAGGTATGCGTGATAAAAGTTCGCTAGTGGCTGGTTGTTTGACCACATTTTTGTCTAATAACCATAGGGCTTGGTACTTTTCCCAAATGTGCATTAAAGTGTCCAGGGATCTGCCTTCTTCACACCTCACCCAGCGTCGTCAGCGAACTAGGCTTGAATTGCGACTGGTAGACAGTCGATGCTCCACCTGGGTATGTTGTACGTATCTCAGAACACTATTTCTTCTTCCTCGGTCAGACGGGTCTAACTCCAGGAAGCAGTCGTGAAGAGGGAACCACGATCGTCGGAACAAGAGCTTTGTTCATCTTGTGCATGAACTACCCGTATTTGCAATTATCACTGATTATGGATTCGAGCCAGAGTCCAAAACGTTGGTCGAATAAAGCTCATGTCCCAGCAATTGTGTCGCAGGGCCTGACTCAGTTTGCGCAGTGCCGTACCACCCTGCTTGCTGCATAGTGACCTGGTAGCGGCCGAACTGTTTAAAGCACCTATCTGTATCCTTGAAGCCAGGAGATCGAGTCTTAAACCGACCAAGTGTAACCTTGACAAAATTTGGAGTGTTCATCGATCCTGGATGATCGTGAGCCCTGGGATGGTGGAAATTGAAAGGTAGGACGATGTCATGTGCCAGCTTAACTCTGACAGCCCCCTCCGGTAACCTGCTTCACTGTAAACAACACTATGGTCGAACGCGTTCCAACCAGCCTCAAATTTTGGCAAGTTCTTTTATACGTGAAGAACGTCTCGGAAGCCGTCAGCCGCCTTCTCACTCTACTTGGAGTTGGGGTTACACACAGGCAGGAAGCAACCATCAGGCCCAGGTCATGAGGCCGAAAGACCCACTACCACGGCAGAAAACGTCTGGAGTCGTTTACCGGATCTGGTGTAGTTGCGGACTGAGCAACTACGTCGGAGAAACTGGGAGATGACGCCGGATGCAGATGGCCGAGCACGCAGTAATGGTGGTTTGTTCATTGACCTAACTCCCCTCTGCCATGATTATATGATTCCACGGTGGCCGTGCATCAGAGCCATTTTGCTAGGCACGCACGAACACTAGACAATGGCTGAGTAAACGAAGACGCAAGGAAAACCCGCGAGGCCTTAACAACAGGTTGGAATGCACTTTGGCAGAGGGATATCGTGAGGAAATCCATTATTTACGATTTCTTTTCCCCCTTAATTAGTGTTCCACACGTGTGCTGAGACCTGACATGGGTTTCCCTGTATTCGCAGTTAGACAGGTTGTTAGTTTGGAGCTGCTACGTCTCGCGTCAAAGGATGCTCGATTAGCTTGATAAAAGATGGAGGTGTTTGACCGACAGAGACAGGGGCAGTGAAATCGCTATTCCTGACTTATTTGCCATTCTCAGTCGATGATACCCCCAAACCAGGACGCACACCTGAAGTTTGAACTCGAGTCGGTTGATCGCCGACCAACTCCTCGTCCACTGCACTACGGGCTCATGTCATGCCGGCTGCCACCCTGCATGTCTCAGATACTTCTGGGTGTCCTTATTTGATTTTAAGGCGTCTGTGTAAGGTAGAATAAGACTTTTGCCGGCTTGAACGCAGGGTAGTTGATCTGTCGCCTGAAATAGGCGTAAACTCACGAACAATTTCTAATAGCTCGGAAGTTGGCTTAAATTCACCAGTTAAAACCCTTGATAAAATATAATCCTCAGTTACGCAAAAACTTGGAAGAATTTAAACTACGTTGGCCAGAGACGGCACAGTTTATGAAGGGCAGAAGTACGAAATCTGCAAAAGTGCTTGTCCGACGGGCAAGCATGATTTGTAGAAATGTGTAATGCGTGCTAACGCAAAAATTGAACAGCAATTCCGTTTAAGCAAACACTGTCTAAACCTCACTTTGAAGATTTCGACGACCATGCGTTTGTGCAGTATTGACGCTTTTCGTTTTTATTTGTTCGATACGGGCCTGGTCGGGAGAAAGATGACCTTATATGGCTTCCTGGGTTGGGTGTCGTATGAATAAGCACTTTCGTACCATCACTTGCTCAGATGTTGGCCAGGGACTAAAAAAAAGTGAACTGTGTTTGGAAAACGCAATCTAAGTTATACGGTGGCATTCATATACCATCGTGTGCATGGGGAGAATATTCCTTCCGTAGAATTGCTGCCTACTTTCTGGCGAAAGTGGATTAGGTTGATCCTCGAGGCGTCCTTGAAATATGAGTGGATACTTTGCGGTTTTGGGTGGTCTCTGTCAACTACCTGTCCTTTGTAGTTACCTAATTCACAAAATAAGACAATTGACAGGGGCCTTTGCTCATTTAACGACTTCTTAGACGTTCCTCTTTCAGCAAATGTTAGTTGTAGGCATATTTGTTAGTTCACCTAGACTTGAAATCTGATTACTGAGGATAATGGACTTCCAGAACCAAGGCCTGTTGCAAATAAGGCTTCGGCAAAACAAAACACCTTCAATGATAAGCCCCGTCTCTAATAGGCACCTTTTAGAGTATTTCGCACACGAATGCTTGCATTGTTCATCTTTTCCTGAGTAAGCTTTGGGAAAATACTAAAACCTTGTGCATGTTACCGGCTATTCATCTGCAAAGAGGCCAATGACTTCTTTCCCCTCTTTATTTTGAGATGGTTAAATTTTCCCGTATTGCGTCTGGGCCAGCTAATATAAATGCAAATGCGCTGCAAAGTGGCCGTATGAACATTAAAATACTTATTATGCGCCTGACGCGGTGTCCTTCACGCGTCTGCATCACCTGTCGACTGAAAAAAACTGGACGCGCATAAAAACACTTTACAATGAGCGAAAAACTTAAATGACCATTCTCTGGTAGACCTTTTCACTGTTTCTTTTAGAACGTGAGTATATACTTGAGATTTATGAGTCCAGTAAAGCAAACGAATGCCTCTAACCACTCCTATTTGGTTTTGGTGGACATAATTTCACGAAGTTGCAAATCAGCATGCCTAAAGGTAGGAGATTTCCTGTCTTCCTATGCTATACAACTTACTCATATCTCTCCTCGCTAAGTTCACGAGACCTATTTCGTAGACCCTCCTCATTTAGTTCAATTCCCACAGCTAGAAAATTATGTGCAAGTATACAGATATCATCTATGCTGGATATTGACGCATAAGATTGTCCGAGACTAGAGGTTCAATTTTTGCCCAAACCTTTTACACATTTTCGTTAACAAAATAACCGAGGGACAATTTGCGCGGAAAAAAAGCTGCTTGGAGTTTGTTTACGCGTTTCAAAGCGGTGTCACTAGAATTCAATTAAATTTTTCCTCTTTCGCATTGTTCAAGATGCAGCTTGGCTTGATTTTTCCGATATGGCCGTCACAACGACAACATTTTCCTTGTCGAGAAGCTGGCTGTCAACTAAGGAATTAGAATGCACTTGTCAGATGAAGTCATCAGCATGCCATTTTCTGTGTATCAAGGTAATTTTCCCTCGCAATTACTCGTGTGTTATGGCGGCTGTACAGTCCCTTGAGTTCCCCGATACTGGTGAATGTCTTGTTGTTTGCGGTGTTCGCAGTCAATTGCCTGGTATAATAGGCTCTGTGGCTTACATTTACCAAGCCCTTCAAAAGAAGACGGTCCCTGAGAGTTTCTGCCTGGTTAGTGACTTCTTGAACGGTCTTTTTTTATGCAGATGGTGGTTTGGGTCATATTTATGGACAAACTTAAACATAAGGCCTATTTGTCCAAGGGTATGGGTGTTCGCCCAGAATTACTATGATCTTAATCAAACGAAGAGTCAAAATATGTCTATTGACCCAACTGTGAAGAACTCCGCGCCTCGGCGGCATTCGAACCTACACAGTAAGGGTTCGAATCCCCCGGAGGCGCCGAGTTTTTCACAGTTGGGTCAATATGGATTATTCAAAATCAGCCAAAAACATCTATGAAATCAAAATATGTTTGACTAGGGTATTTCGCTGATGAATGGCCATGTTCCCTGTCATTTCCTCAAAGAATGTCCGAAAGGAAGTCAGAATATTTTTCTCGTCTGTGCACTTCCGTAAAAGGGTATTGATAAATTTTCTGTCGCAAACAACAAAAGTACGTCTTCTCTTTATACTGGAACCGTTTTAGTCTCTGCTCTAGAGAATGGATACATAAATAACGAACTATTTTCCGTATAGTTAACACTATGTCCTTCCAGCTTCGACAACACATTTTAGCGAAAGTCAAACCGTCAAAATCGTATGCAATTTCATTGTTAAAGTAGCGCGAAGCATGTTCTGCATGAGAACAAGACTTTCCGGAACGTGTTAATCTAACAAGTAAAACGCACATCGTTCGAGATATCCCAACTGATCATCTAGCTTTCGGTCATCACGTTTCATTCTGTGCGTGCTACGCCTATTTCCACTGCTGCATGACGGAAACGCCAGAGTTTTGATTCTTAGGTGGGTCTCCAGTGTGCCCCACGTGCTTCCTGTCAACACTCCAGTTTTCAGTTTGCCTTATCGTCTCGATCGATCTCAGTAGACAGGCTAGAAGTAAAGTCGTCGAAACGGCACATATCGGACGTATCTCCAATTTCTATATAAACACTTGAGTAACACACTGCAAATTCAGTGGGACTCCGTGTGCCTGCATTTCCAAGTCTAGCAGTTGTATGCGGTTTATTCGGAACACTGTCTTGCCACACTCCTAGCCCAGGTACTATGAGCTAGGCTGCGCGCCCTGCCGATTTTCCGCTGCTGCTGCATGATCCAGTTGCTAGGCGTTCGACAGCTACTTGAACAGTTCGCGTGGAATCACTTGGGAAAGCATAAGAGATCTATAATGGTGCATTGCGTTTGCGTCTGCTAGTAGCATAAAACAGTCGAGCACATGTCGGTTGGAAGATGTCGGGAACGCTCAGCTTATACTACTGCCTGACTTTCACCTGCGAAGGTTGGGTGGTCATTAGGTTGAAGTGGACAGTGCTTAGGCGGCACGATATGCCATACGTGACAGCACAGGTGTTAGCTAAAAGCTCAGATACGTGTTTCGTCGAGATATTTTGCCGCTGCCTCTGAAGCGGGTAGTGCTTAATAAGTTTGCCGAAAGAATTGGGAAAGAACGGGACTATTTCCGTTCGGACAACTTCCAGTTCTTACAGTTTTTTTGTGTGCGAGTATGAATCGCTTCGTTCTCGTCTTTTGTCAGCCTGTCGAGGCACAATCTGTGGATTCTGTCAGAATTCCAACTCCTTCAGCGTTCAGTACCTACGGTCGAATTGACGTTTGGAAGGTTAGGGCCTCAGTTCTGAATTCCGTTTGAGTTCGGCTTTGCCTGAACCATTTTCTCGATACTGAAGGCGTCATATCCGTGACATGTTGTCCTTCCTTTTCATTATCCATTGTTAGTGGTTTCTTGTTCTTTCTTCGTCTGTGTGTAAGTGGTTTGTGCCATCGTGGTTTCTCCAAATTTCACCTCATGCCAACTACGCTCACTTGGAAGGTAGTCGACAGAGTGGTGGATCCGACTCTTAAGCTTTTTTGTTGCGGTTAATTTCGACACCCGCGTTTCCTTGTAAATCCGCCTGTCCTCTATTATTAACACTTTTTCCGGGCCCGTAGACATACAAAAAATATCAGTAAGTAGAACTGCCACTTTACCCTGCGTGCTCAGCTGCCATTAATTTTGCTTTGCCATATCGGAACCGTTCATTCCGACTTCAGTTTGTTTGTTGGTGGTACCGTTACCTTGTTTTTTGACGTTTTTTCTTGACGCCGGCACGTCCTCCATCTCCGACGGCTTCTGCCATAAATCTTCTGATAGGTGGTCACTGTTCTGCGTATCCTATTTGTCATTTACTTGTGGTACGGGGTCTCCACAGTACTGTTAGTTGTTTCGGTAAAACGCGAATGTTGAAGCCTAGTGTCATTCCCTCTCTACTGATATCAGAAATATTTAAAGTCCACACGACTTACCTATCCCCTGTCAGCTGCTGGTTTGCGGTGCTCCTGGTTCGTCGTGTAAGTGAAAGTTATTCGATTATTGGTCAGTCAGTTCATGCGAGAAGGTAGTGACTGAGACCAAGTGCACTCCATCTCTGGAACAAGAACTTTTCTCGACGGGCACCTGTCGAGCCCGTTTGGGAGTTTAAAGGTTAAGCGAGTACAGTTTTTTTTCAGCGACAAAATTCACTTCTGTTGATCGCGCCTTACTGTCCTGCGCTAGTGAAAGCCGTCTCTCAGGTTTCGTGGCATAACGGGTGGATGAGCACTGCCCAGGCGAAGCCAATGAGCTCACCTTCCGCTTAACATTGTTTTAGGCACTACCAATTTCGCTTGGCAGTACCTGTCTTAGTTTCACGGTGGGTGTGTGTATGTTTTCCTTTAGGTGGCGGTTTCTACATGCCGCACGTGCTCTCGAGCGGCGGCCCGCTGCACGCAGCCTCCGGACCCTCACAGAACGGCAGGCTTTTTATGCCGCAACCCACTGCCACCCTGCGGGCCCTGCCGCCGCAAAAACATCTGGCCACCGGTGTTGATGACTGCGCCGGCCAACGTTTTATGTCTCTTAACGGTGTGACCTCTGGTGACCCCTCCCGCACTGTGATGATGTTAAATGGCGGCTTCTCTTCGGCCATCGCTGATGACGTTATCCTTCCTCCGACATGCTCCACTCTGGCGATGAACTCCACTCACCACGGCCAAGTGCTGCACCCGGAGAAATAGCTCGTCAGCCAGCCCTCATCACGGAGTTTCCCACACATATGCATTTCTTTTCCCCTCATTGGATCAAAACCGGTGTCTCATCTGGCATCCCCTGGACGCAGTCGCTAAATCATTCTAGTTATCCACAGAACGGCAGACGTGCCACTCTATCCCGTGTGCATTCCATTCACAGAAGAGAAGTTATGTAAACATTGACATACCTGAATCCTGCTAATCTGATCCAAACTATGCACAATCTAAGTAATACTTCTCCTGGCCGAGTGGCCTGATTTTACCTTTTTAGCCTTTATTATCGGTACATTTATCCTGAGTCGGCCCTAAAACTCACTGACACAACCATGCAAATGCGCGGCCCGTCTGCTCGTCTGGTGACCTACTAGAAGTCCCCTCTGCCTCACTTAGATGTTACCGTAGTTGTTTAGATTTGTCAGTTTTTCACTGGCCACTTTTGCTCCAAGACATGGTCTATGCCTCTCCGTTGCCCGCGGCAACGTTCTTGTCTCCTTTGTTTTACGTCGTGCTTGCGTGGTTGAAAAACCTTGTTCGTCATATTTTTGTCTGTTAAACTGCATTAATCGGGAGATTAAGAAAACATGATTTTTTTCTAACTCTTCCATTTCGTCTACTCGCTAGGTTTTCGCGTTCTTGTTGCCAATGTGATGACTTTAAAACCAGGAGAACCTTGGCCCACATGCGATCTTCACCACGTCCCTAAGTCGTCCGAAAGTACATGTCCACCCCTGTTACAGATGACGCGACCTATCTCGTGAAATGTTAACCGAAATTCTTAAATGGGTTTCCAGTTAGAAAGGATTTATGTGGTGCCATAATAATGACAGCCAGGCAGTATAATCCCATGTTATTTTAGCCACACCAGGATGCCGGCTTTTGAATGAGTTTCCTTCCTGCCGCCTGCAGAAGCCGCATCGGGTACAAATGAATATTTAAGCAGCGTGATTTCTCGCGTTTATTCTTGATGCGTCCACGAATTCAAATATATTTTGTGTAAAAAAGTACAAATATGTCCTTTCTTGCACTCATTTGCTAGCAAACTGTGTCTTCTCAAAATTTTATACTTGACGAAGGGGGTCTCCCATTTCCAACAAACTTTCCAAATCCCCGAATGCTGCATACTATCCGTGTAGAGAAAATCGCATATTTCTCCACGCTATCAGGAAGACGCTATATGGACCTCAAAATTTTGCAACGCGTGTCGACCACTTGCAAACTTCATAAGCAGCGTTAATAAATGGGCTGGTGTGATGTTGTATGAACGAACCTTTCACTGTCTTAAAACATCTCACAATTAGGAATATTTCTAAAACCGAAGGGTACGCTTTCCTCGAGTATGAAATTTGAAGAAGAAGCAATTTGCTGTGAGATGAATAGACGAGGGAATATGTTTGCGCTTGTTTTTAAACAAGGTATATTTGGAGTTGCGAAGTCATCGAAAATCAGTGGATAAAATTCATACTAGTTAAGTAGTTTTTTTTATCTAGTTCCTTCTATGCAGGCAGCCGGGAAGAAGCTCGTTTAAACTCCGGCATCATGACATGACTGAAATATCTTGGGATTATGTTGCTTGATAATCAGTCTTACAGTCCCACCTGAATAGGTTTTATCGCAGATTTTGAATAAATCATTTTGACCCAACCGTGTTAAGCTCGGCCACCGAGGTCGTCGAATTTTTCATAGTTTGGTCGAAATGAATCCCACCCAAGTAACCCCTTTCAATCTAAAACACTTCAGAATTTCAGTTAATATTTCATGAGATTGGCCAGACGCTATTGCTGAGTGAGCTCGCGTTAGTCTGAGTATGTTATTCTTGTGGTTCAGGGGGTAAATGGTGTGCCAGTTTTTCTCATCGGTCGATCAATGCTTCGTCGGGAAACTTAAATTGCGCTTCTGGAGTTTTTAAACCACGGATGTGATGCGGACAGCCAGCATGGTCGTGTCTGGCGTCCTTATTCAAGACACCATTGCGTCATGGTAATTCACCTTCGCAGCGAGCATTTCCAGACTCGATAGAATTAAACTCGAACGCACGTGCGCCCACATAGTCGCAACTGCCCATGCGCCATTTGAACAAGCCACTCACATTCGAACGCAACGTTAGCCACTTGAACGCCGCCCCTCGGCAAATACTACACACACCAATTTGGCACTTCTTAAGCCAGATCTCCGAGCATATTAAAGCAGCATGACTGGACGCAGTCAACACCAGCCCTGGCTTCGCCAGCAGTCACTAACGCTTTTGAGGACTACTCGGGGTTCTGTACACAATAAAGCCCCATTCTGGTGCCATTTGTCTTTCCCTTCAACGCAGGATTCGGTCTGATAATTGTAGCGCTCAGAGCACACTGCTCAGACGCATGATGTCGGGTCGGGTGGGGACTCCCCAGGAAACCTCCAAGGGAGGTTCCTCTAACCATTATTAACTGGATTCCTTCATATTCGCATCGCCCAATTGTCAACAGAAATTGGCTAAACGTCGCCGTTATGACCATTTATTAGCTGAAATACTCAGCAAAAGTGCTGCCACTTTTATAAGGAATTAGCTAATGTGTTGTTAGTACGGTAAATCATTGCACATTTCTATACTACTGGCTGCCTGTTGGCGGTTTGTGAATGTTAAGCGGTTATTCCGCAGTAGCTGATGGATTTCAGCTCAAATATTCATATCGAACTTTGGATCGTGCCTGAAAAGGCCCGTTTCGCGCATTAATTTCCTCGGAAATTAAACAAGGCGAGAGTGAACCTAGCCAACATCTGCTGTATCTCCCAGAGCAGAGTCAAGAAAACCGGAGATGAGAGAAGGCGCAGCTGGATGGCACGGCGGATGAGCCCGCACTTAGGCGTACCACCACGCCACAGAGGCCAAATTAAGAAGGAGCCATTGCGGCCTGACTCTCAGACCACCAGTCGGCCACTCCACACAAACACATCCTGGGCTGACTTCGAGGTCCAAGTTATCCGTCATTACTACGACCACGAAATAGTACCACAGGGATCACCTCTCCAGTTGGGACAGAAAGATCAACCACCACCGCCGCCGCCCCTACAAGCATTGCGGATACATTCGCCACCCGTCCTTGGGGGCAACTGCACATTCGTGTAGTGCACCGGCTGAATCGGTAATCCGCAAATTCATCACAGTGGGACAAGAGAACTAGCGCCTCGAATCCCGACCTAGACCCGTCACACATACCTTAACTGGCGACACCGTGCAAAAGTACTGAGGAACCGGACGGGCCTATGCGGCCGAATGTACGTTCACGAATATCCACAGTAAATGGCACAGCCCGAATCTCCTTGAATCAACTCCTACCCGCGCGCGCGCAAGCAAACTTAGACTACGTATGGGACTCCTTAACTAAATGTGTAAGCGCACTAGCAATCAACATAATGTCACACGTCCTGCACACGACATACTTGCGGGACAAATTGTCTGTGCCATTATGACTGGCGAAATGTCACATGTGATAAAGTACACATCTCGATCATGTGGGAAGCCCGCAACCTTATGAAGAACTTCGGGACAGACGACCGGTATGCATTTGGCACCGGTGGACGGAGGCTTCCACGCCGCATCAGCCACTCCGTCAAAACGCATAATCAGTTTGTCAACTGGTGCAAATGAGGGGAGATAGGGGAAACCTATTCCGGGAAGACATCCATCTCCATGGCAAATCAGCCCATTCCCCACTATAATTAATATGGAGCTGCTGGCGACGACGAACATAGTGCCATAGGACTCACGTCACTGACGATCGGTGATTGGCGTGGAGCATTTGTCTGCTTCTGCCGTGTAAGTACCTTATATGTGGTATGTGTCCTCTTGCACAATGCTCGTTGTCACCAGCAGCCTAGCTGGCGGACAGACAGAATGGGATCGAGCAAGATTCCAACCACAAAAAGTGGGAGTCACGCGCCTACTTTACCAGTTTATATACTTCACTTCATAATGTACATGAAAAGCCTATGGCGTGCTGATGATCGGTAATGACCGTGAAACAGTTGTCTGCGCATGGCATATTAACACCTTAGGGAACAATCTAAGTAGTATATATACAGTAGTTGTGCTAACTCATGAAATGTCAACCAAAATTTCGAAATGCGTTCTCGTTTCGAAAAGATAAATTAAGTAGTGTTGTAAAACTAAGTATGATGCAGCATAAATCTATAATGATCCAGTTACCTCAGGGTGTCGGCTTTCGAAAGAACTTATTTTCGGCTGCATGCAAGATCTATACTCTGCAAAAAATGACTACTTAAGTAGCATGCAATTTTTTCATTGATTTTCGATGCCCTTGAAAATTCAATTATATTTCATGGAAAACATGCATGAAAATATTCATTCTTTTACTTATTCGGTAGAAAATCACGTCTTCTTCCACTTTTATACTCACAAGAAGAGTATAATTCGGTTTTAAAAAAGTTTCTAATTGTGAGACTTTTTAATACCGTTAAATGGCCGTTCATGAAACGTCATGTATCTGCATTTACGAATGTGGCTTGTAAAGTTAACAATATGGCTCAAATCGACTGCTTAATTTTATGAACCTTATATGGTCTCTTTTTAACACCGTAGAGAAATGCATGCAATATTGCTAGGTAATGGTTTCAGAAATTATTAAGTTCAGGACATAGTGTTAGGTGTCAGGGGCATGACATTTTAGGGTCGGACTCGAAAGTTCAGTGAACATTTGGGTCGAAGTCAATCAACTGCTGTTGAATAACCACACAATGTCAATCCTGCAAACAAGTGGCACCACTTTTAGTGGAATTTTATATGACAGACAGTTCTACCGTAAGTGCCCTTGACTCATAGGAATATTCTTCCCCCGATGACATAGCCGAAAATATAGCCTGAGTTCCTGACTTTTGCAACCACATGAGAATCGTGGCCTTAGCATTTGTTTTGGCCAAACCAGAACTCAGAAACTTAAACGCTTGGCAGTTGGTCTACAAATTTAGAGATGTAGACCCAACCGCATGAA